AGGCCATTTTGATTCCAGTCTAATCCAAGATGTGTATTTAATAGTTAGTAGATAATTTTATTGTTATTTATTAACGATAACAATTGCTAAATAAAAACTGCTTAAAATTTTGTCGATTCGGCATGGTTGTCTTTTTTTTATTCGTTTGTTTGAACAGAAAGAAAGAAACAAAGTTAAACTATTGTCAATTGTCTTTGTGATGATAAAGTTTCTATCTGACAAAAGTTGAAATTCTTAATTTAATGGACGTGGAATCGAAACTTTGTGCTGATTGATGACCAATCGAACCTTCAGGAGTCCAAAGCTCAATTGATTTTGGCGCAAGCTTAGTGGTAGATGTTTTCGCTTAAAATCAAAGTCAGTTAGTTACCTGTATCTGTACGTTGGAGGCCTCTCTTATCACCTTTACCCATTATTAGAGGTTTCCAATGTTTTCATTGGGTCCTGAAAAAAAAAATATTTAAAAATTATTATATATCTATATCAAATATATAAAGAACAAATTTTTTGTACAGGTATTTGAAATATTTTAATGCAGTATGATTTAATTTAATTCAAATAAAAATTAGTTTGGATTAACCCCATTATCTAGTGATAAATTGTTATTTGTTTCTTATAATTCGTATTTTTGCGCTGACGGCTGCATTTTAACAATTGCTACAGTCAAATCACCATGTAGTAGCGATTCGTATAGTACCAGGGCTCATTGGTCATTAGTTGACCACTAATTCGTTCTGATAGGCTTTTGTAGGCAACGTAATTTGTGTTTTAGAGGCAGCTGCCATCGTTTTTGCTATTTCGAGTGTTAACAAATTCGTTTAGATCGAAAGCAATTTGTTTCGTCGGGCGCAGCGTGAGCTAATATTAATTCAAAATTTTTTTTTTATTTAGCATGTTACATGTATGTAACATTACAAAATCCAATTTATTTATAATAAAAAATTGAAACTTATTTGGTCTATTTCAATGCGGAATAAAATTTTTCTTTGTATAATTTATAATAAATTGAAAAGCTATTTTCAGTTTACAAGTACCACAAAGTTTGAGAAATTGGCTAACAAATTTTAACTGGCTTGCGTATTGTTTAGATGCGTACGTTAAACTAACGACATTTTTTGTCAAACAGTTTTGGAGGTAATTTAATAGTGAATAATGGACTGACTTGTCAATTGTTTTGAAAATAATTGAAGTCGGGACAAAACTCTATTGCAAAATTTTTTGTTTTTTCCACAACTCGATTTTGTTTCATACAACAATTAAAAATTGAAATTACGAAAATCAGAAAAAGTTGTAATACAAGAGAGATGAACGTGCCGAAATAGTCGTTTTTCATTAAAGTTATTGCGAAAAGTCATAGATTATAAAGAAAAATCATCTTGAGATGACGCTGTGCGGCCTGGAGCGTAAATCATCGTAATTTCCCTTTTTCTTCACGCGAGTTGGAACATCTGTTACACAAGGAAAGCGAACGGGGTGGCAGGCAAACAAGCGCTCTCTTTGTACTAGCCACTCAGCAGCAACAGGCAAGCTAAGACTGTTGCCAAAGCTTTTCAACCCGATTCAACACGTGTTAAATATAAAAAAAAAAAAAGAACATCCATCCACTAAACAAAAGAAAACCTACAATAATCACACAAATGCAACTGTTAACGTCATTTATTGTTTTATTCTTATATCTTGTTTACTAATATTAAGTAGCAATTGTTTTATGTTCTTCGTTACTTTCTTACTTAACATTTAAAGCGTGTACTTCCCGTAAAGGAAAAGCATTTAATCAAACATTAAAACACTTATGACAATGCACACAATTAATTTTCAGTTTTACAATAGATTATTGCTATCACAAATTTGTTTTAACGTGTACCCCACTCACCGGATATGTTTTCTTGCCGATAAAAAAGTTCTTTTTGGGTTCAATTCAGGAATAGGTCGTTACGTATTGTGACTATTGCCGCATCCTGTGCCGTCAAAGGACTAAAAATTGTTCGGAAGGACGAGAAAAGCTCTATAATCGAGTTGCGCAATGCTTAGCATCCGTCTGAAATTGAAAGCTTTCCCGAGATGCGCGGGAAATTGTAGTTAGGGACATCTAGACGTTTCGACCTCGAATTACTACTACAGAGAGAGGAGTTGCGTGGAAAGTTCGAAACGGTTTCTCGACTTGTTGATGTTAGAGGTCACTACAGGTTTCTAAATTTGAAAGTTTTGGCGCCTCAGGTTTCTGATTTGACTGAAGTTACAATCGGAACTGGTTGTTCAGATGGAGCTTCCGGACTTTTCTCGATCTTTGCAATTTTCCTAAATTTATACTTATATGCAGTTTTTCCATACAATTGGCAGTATATGTTTTAAATTACTTAGTAATTGTAACATGTAAAAAAAAGAAAAACTAGGGAAAGAGCGAATATGAAGATAGGGGACGAAAGATTAGAAGAAGTGGCTAATTTTGCTTTTAACACAAGGTGTCTGGCGTTAAGTCACAAAAATTCGCTTCGGTCCAGCATTTTTATGGAAAACAAAATCAGCCCGATTTTCCTGTTTTGTCCTGTATACACTTCATATAAATTTTATAGTACACATGTTTAATTATTAGTTGTTGCCTGTGTGATTAAAAATAAAACAAAACACTGCATTTTTTAAGTAATGCGTAACTTACCGCGATATTTTAAAATTTTCCATGTGCTTGACAAATTTCCCGGCCTTTTCCCAGTTATTCCTGATCGGTTTTCCCTGATTTCCCGGTCGATAGGCACCCTGCGAGCACAAACATGTTTTCCCTTATTTCAAAAATTAATCGGAGATACCTGTACGTTTTAAGTTTGTAGGAAAGCTCACATAGGTAATGCCAAAAACGATAGATGAAAACAGGGCTGTAGCCAGGGTAGTTTAGGGGCGGAAAATTTACCCAGGAAGAAAATATTTCTAATATTTGTACATATAAGAAATTCCATATCGATCTCTTTTGTTTTTCAACTTTTGCTGAACATTGGGTTGTCGATATATTACAGGTATTACAAATTGTACTTTAATTGCAAGAAATGATATAAATTTGCATCCCTTACTGCATTTACGCATATAAAGTATAATTTAAAGATGAATATTCATCAATTTACTGCAGTGACACCGAAATTATAGGTCAAATACAGGTTTTTTATATCACCCCGGCGCCTTCACCAAAATTTGCAATACCCTTTCAATAATAACTGCTAATAATGTTCGAGTACCTTCATGAATTTCTTATTTTCGGCATTTGAATAATAGTTTAAATAAAATCTAACTTAATAATTGACACTACTAACTAAATCCTTTTTTAGTAAAAAAAATGTTTCTTATAGGATATTCTATGTTCAAATTTTATTTTGTTCTTGTAATTTTCCTACAATTATATGAGAAAGCAACACGAAGTAGTGAAAAGTACAGAATAATTATTGTATAGAAAATGATGTAAAAAAATTATTTCCGCGAAAAAACGTTTNTGACTGAAATTCAAAAATTAATAATTACTAATCTAATGTATTGTAATACAATTAAAAACTTCTTCAGTTAAATTTTGAAATCTTTGTAATTCTTTTGTGTAAACAGGGTGAGTGAAATGTGTGGCACGATTGGGGTATGTACGTAAGGAAGAAACGTGTGGGTGGTTTGGGTAAGTACGTGAAGAAGGGATGTGAATACCTGGTGAAAGTTACAAAGTGAATTGACTGAAATTCAAAAAATTAATAATTACTAATCTAATGTATTGTAACACAATTAAAAACTTCTTCAGTTAAATTTTGAAATCTTTGTAATTCTTTTATGTGTAAATAGGGTGAGTGAAATGTGTGGCACGATTGGGGTATGTACGTAAGGAAGAAACGTGTGGGTGGTTTGGGTAAGTACGTGAAGAAGGGATGTAAATACCTGATGAAAGTTACAATACGAATTAATTGAAATTCAAAAATTAATAATTACTAATCTAATGTATTGTAATACAATTAAAAACTTCTTCAGTTAAATTTTGAAATCTTTGTAATTCTTTTATGTGTAAACAGGGTGAGTGAAATGTGTGGCACGATTGGGGTGTGTACGTAAGGAAGGAACGTGTGGGTGGTTTGGGTAAGTACGTGAAGAAGGGATGTAAATAGACTTAGTAATTTAATGTTGCAGAAATGTGCAAGGGTTTTCAACTAAACACAAGTTGTCTTTAAATAT